GGTTCTCGCTCCGTCGTGTCGAGCATGGGTGAGAGTGGGGGAGGGGAGGCTGGGGGTGGAAGGGGACGAGCCCGGCCTGTCTCGGGCCTGTTTCTGGTCTCCCCCCTGCCCTGTCAATGTCAATACCGGCAAGTGTGGGAATGGGCTTTTGCTTCCTTCCACCCCCAGTGCCCATCATCAGCAAGGCCCAAAGACCCAAGACCCAAGGTCCGGCTGGGCTATTGACCATAGACATGGGGGTGGTGGATGGGGGGAGGGGAAGGGGGGCATTATGGCACGATTTGACAGCTGATATCCGCCATGTCATCGGGCCTTATACCCCCGCCTTGAACAAGATAAACCTCGCTGACTTTCCCGGGCCATGTGCCGATCTTACAGCCTGGGTCTCAGTGGCTCAAAAATCATGGACAGCGAGGTTTGGGTTGGTATTGGGTAGGCTTTAGCCTGTGCTCCACCCCCGGCCCTCCCCTTTGTCCGGAGATTTACCCTATGCAGTAAGGGGGGCGGAAGGAAGGAAGCATGCATACCTATTACATACTAGCAACACTGTGTTTTGAACCAAAACACTTTTGTTGGCAAGTTAGTTCTCCGGTCTCGTTCAGAAACAGTAGGAACGCTCGATTCTGGCCCCTCAAACATCTCTATTTGATTACTCCTTACACACTAATAGGGAACTTGGAGTCTAGGTTTCTTGGCCTTGTAGCCGCCCAACAGATAGACATACATATGTGAATCAATCTAGGACTGCAGAATACGTGCATGTGATGTTTGTCTACTATCTAATCTGCCGATCAAAGCCAGACACTTGTGTGTAACTCTTCATCACAATCATGAATCCGTCATTCTAGTATACAAATGAACACTTCACCCTCAGCACGCACGCCCTATCCTCGCCCTTATTCAATACATAGTCACACGTATAGTATTATCACACAATTACCCAACATAAACAAACTTCACCTCCACCTGCCATATCAACCCATACCAGTCCCGAACCATCACCCCATAATCATCCCACTCACCCATCCAAACTTTCAAAACAACTAACCCGCATCCCCCGTCCCAACCTAGCACATTCCCACCTCAAACCAACCTGAAAAGCCCAAGACCAGAACCTCCTCCGCACTATCAACCCACCGTCTCCACCCCCCCCCCCCCCTCCCGTTTCCGCACAACCTTATCCCAATTCCCCTTTTTCTTTTCTCAACCTTCTGGGGTGGGGCGGGGGCTGGGATGGGACAGGTTTGATCCTTGTTTTTTTTTTCTGTGCCCATGGGTCCGGGACCTGGGGCCTTTTTGCTTACTTACCGTGTCAGTTCTTAGTTGCTGGGTTGTGGGAAAAGGGGGTGGGTGTGGATAGGATGGGCTTGTGGGAGAGATGAGGAGAAGATTAAAGTGTGTATGATTATGTGGGTATGTAGGTAGGTGGTGTTGTATATGGGGTAGATGTCTTGTAGTGGTTAGATACTACGGCATATCGAAGCGGAGATTTACTTGATGTTTGTGTTGAAAAAAGGAGTGAGTCTACGGTGAGGTGGGGGTTGAGGATCATCTTTTGAGTTTCTTCGTGATGCATTATACTTACTCGTTTAGTAGCGTCAGGTCTACGTGTTCTATACGCTGTATTCGGGATGTAAGTACAGAAGAATCCTATGTTGGATATGACTGATAGAGATGGATATCTGTCTATTCTACGTGTTTCAGGGTTTTTTATCTGATTAATTGGAGAATCTATGGGATTGTACAGTTCTGTCCCTTGGCTGGGAAAATTGTGTTCTAGAGGTGATACTGTATTTGCAGAATTAGATATAGAGATCTGCGTGATGGAATTTCTAACAATCTCTCCAACAGAACTGGATGGTTGATAGGTTCATATAAGAATAAATATCTAAGTAAACTTGAATGCACAGATACTATAGTATCTGGTATATATCGGATGTGGTTGTATGTACATATATCGTGGTCGCTGGTCTCGCTATATGTCTCATCGTACATTTATTTCACACTTCAGCTTGAAAAAAAAAAGAATCAACCATCAAAACACAGAATACAACAATGACAACGAAGGGAATTATTTCAAAGCACTTGAATTCAACCTACTTGTTCTACTAAAAAAAACAGGCAGAAATTACGTTCTTGTAAGGAATCGAAAACATCACACCATGTGCCTATCACAATCCATCTTATCATAGACAACTCATAAAATTCATACATCGACATATATAGCATCGCTTTTTTTTATCAACCCAAGAAAAAACCCTAACACCACATAAATGTACAATCACGCCTCCTTCTCTCCCTCAGGCTCTTCAAACTCCACCAACGCGGTACCCGCCTTACACAAATCGCCCTTGCCATGTACAATCCTCTTTACAATACCCTGACTTGGACTCCTAATCACGGTCTCCATCTTCATACTCTCGATCACGACAAGTGCCTGATCCTTCTTGACCTCCTGGCCCTCCTCAACCTCGACACGGAGAACCTTGCAGGGCATGGGAGCAAGAACGCTGTTGGCGACGTCCTTGACACCGAGAGCCTTTTTGGTCCACTCGGGCATGGCGAGTCGGAGGCGGTATTGGCGGCCAAGGTGGAAGAGCGTAATGCGGTCTTCGTCGCGGACAAAGGTTGTGGCGAGACGGGTGTGTGGGTAGAAGGAAGTTAGTGTATTGCTTGAAGGAGAAAAGGAAGATGTGACGTTGTTGTATGTTTTGTCGCCCACAGTAATGTCGAATTGCTGGGGACTTGTCTGGAGGATGGTGACTTTTGTTGCTTTGGCTTCGCCTTTACCGTCGGCTGGTGTTTCGACGAGGTTGAAGTCGCGCTGCTGGTAGGCGCTGCTGAAGCCGAAGCCGACAGCTGTCACAGGTGGTCCTGTCCATACGTCTCCTTTTGACGCGGAGATTTGCTGAAGAGTGAGACCTAGTGCGGCTTGACCGTAGACTTCGGGCGCTGGAGGCTCAGGGGTAAAGAGCTCGCTGTGATGCTTCTGGATATATCCCGTCTCTACGTTACCAGCGACAAAGTCTGGAGACACACACATACGCTTGATAAATTCGATGTTTGTAACGGGGCCAGCAACTTCGTACTCCTCGAGTGCAGCTCGCAGTTTTTGGATAGCTGCTTCGCGTGTAGGACCTTGGACGATGAGTTTGGCAATCATGGGGTCATAGTGCGAAGATACTTCGTCACCAGCGATGAATCCAGAGTCGATGCGCACGGTAGAGCTGGGTTGGGGTGTCTTGAGATGAAGCAAAAGTCCAGAGTCGGGGATGAAGTTCATGTCTGGGTTCTCGGCGTATATGCGCGCTTCAATGGCATGTCCTCTCTCCTTGATCCTCTGCTCGATTTGTTGCTGGGTAAGGGGCAGTTTTCCGCCCTCAGCAACGATGAGTTGCCACCTTACAAGATCTTCGCCAGTGACCATTTCAGTAACAGGATGCTCGACCTGCAGCCTGGTGTTCATTTCCATGAAGAAGAATTCACCCGTGTCGTTGTCGAAGATGAACTCGACAGTTCCTGCTCCTTCGTAGCCTACGGCAAGGGCTGCCTGCCTTGCCTTCTCCCAGATATCCTGCCTGACGGCCTCATCCAAGTGAGGGGCTGGTGATTCTTCAAGAATCTTCTGGTGTCGGCGTTGGATACTGCAATCTCTCTCACCCAATGCGACGCAGTTTCCATGCTTGTCGGCGAAGACTTGGATTTCAATGTGGCGCGGTGTGGTGATGTACTTCTCGACCAGCATGACTTCGTCTCCAAAGGAATTGCGCGCTTCTGACTTTGCAGAGGCCAGCTGATCAAGGAACTCGGACTCGTCCTTGACGATGCGCATGCCCTTGCCGCCTCCACCTTTGACGGCCTTGAGGAGCACGGGATAGCCGATGGTTGCTGCTTGTTCCTTGAGGTACTCTGGATCTTGGTTGGAGCCATGGTATCCGGGAATACAGGGTACGCCGGCTTTGGTCATGATGTCTTTGGACTCACTTGTGCATGTTAGCTAGCATGGTTATGCTGGATGGTCAGCACGCACCTCTTGCTTCCCATGGACTCGATTGCTTTCCATGGGGGACCGATGAAGGTCAAGCCCGCATCTGTACATTTTCTCGCAAAGGTCGGGTTCTCGCTCAACTATGTTGCCCATTAGTGTCATGCCATGTCGGTGTCTGAAGGGACGTACGAAGCCGTAACCCGGATGTATGCCCTGGCAGCCCTGCTCCTTTGCAATCTGTATTATGCGATCGCCGTCGAGATATGCAGAGGGGTCGCCGAGGTTGACGGCATAGGGCGAGCTGAGAGCATGCTGTGACCGGGCATCGGGGTCTGTGTAGAGGGTTGTGGTCCGGATGCCGTATTCTGATGCTGTGCGGCCGACTCGTCTAAGACCATGTCAGATGCGCTGCTTGCTCATCCACAGCATGAGGCTTACAATGCAATTTCTCCACGATTTGCTATGAGGACAGAGGTAAGCGACTTGGGTGTGGGCGCAGCGGTGGAATTGCAGCGGATGCCGTTGGGAGCAAGAAGCTGGCGCGAGAGGTGAGTAGACTTGCGAAAGGCACGCATGGTCACGAACGCAGTCTATGGAACAGAGGAGATGGACGGATTGATTGACTGGTAGACTGCTTGATTGACTGCACAGCTACAAAAAAGTAAAGCACATGCGGTGCTGAGCCATGGATATGTGCGAGGAGCCTCGGTGTCGTGTTAAGCCGCGTGGAGCCGGGCGACGTCAATACGCGGGGAAGAGGCACGCGCGAACGAGAGCGGGCAGTCGCACTCCACGCCAGCAACTCAATGGGGAAGGAGCGTGGGTGACGTGGGACAGCGCCAACCAGCTCATTGTTGCTTGTTGCTTGTTGCTTGTTGCTCGTCGCGCTGATGGTCCCCGTGCGCCTGAATGCGTCGTCTGCGCGCGCCCGCGTCATAGCCTCCACTTGCTCCGACTGCACTCTCGACAAGGACACGCCTCATCTCTACCCACCATGAGCGACTACGAAGATGAATATGACGACTACGATGCCGAATTCTTCTACGTCGAAGATGAGTACATGGCAGCCGACGACCTCGCAGAGCACGCCGTAGCCTCGCCCCCACCGGCCACATGCGGCGACGAAGACATGGAAGAAGACTGGGACCGCTTCGATTACTTCAACGATCTCGAGTACGCCTCCGACGGCTATGATGACACTAAATTCCAGCCACTCGACGTCAAGGGCGCAAAGGCGGGCTCCAAGAGGAAACGGCCAGTCCGCCGTCCACCCAGGAAGAGCAAGGCCGACACCAACACAAGTATGGGCGCGGAACCCGCTGCGCCAACTCACTCGCCCATTGTCTGGCGCTCTCAGGCAGACCGCGGCGTGAAACCCAAAGCACTCGAGGAAAACGCGGAGCCATATGCCCTGTTCAAGAACTGGCGCGAGAGGCTTGCCAACATACCAGAATGGGCAAAGGGGTCGCCGCCAACCTCACCAGGCGCACCGTCAATTTCATCAGAAAAAGGAAAGGGGAAAATGGCTTTTATTACAGAGCCCGCATCACCGCCCTACGACGAGGACGAAGAAGAGGGCCACGACGAGGCTATGAGTGAACAAGGACAAGGCATCTCTCAGGAGGCTCTTCTAGCAGCCCTGCAGCGTCAACTCGCTGCTGCCGGTGGTCCACTGAGCGGCATGGATCCCCAACAGCTGCTCGAGTTCGCCATGCGCATGGCCGCCGACCAAGACGCAGGCGACGACATTGCGGGCGAGATGGCCGACGCAATGCTCGAAGGCTCAGACGAAGAAGACGACGGCGACGCCGAGGAAAAGCTTCTCTCCTGGGTAGCCCAACAGCGCAATGGCAACAAAGAAGTCGCAGAAGCCGACTCCGTACCCACCGACGTAGCCCCCTCCAGCAAACGACTCCCCACGCCCCCTCCCTCAACCGCCACTCGCAACGTCTCCGCATCCCAAACAGACACCACCCCCTCCGTCCCCACTCCCACTAGCCAATCCACGGATTCAAAAATCCCAAAGCCCTCCCGTAAACGCAAAGCCGACGACGAGGACTCCACAGATGCTCCCATAAAAACAGCAAAGAAACGTTCGACGAGATCCTTTGATGCGCCCACAGCGGCTAGCCAGGCTAAAGCTGCGACGGCGAAACCTGCTACGAGATCGAGAACCGGTCGGCGGACCTGAGATTTGAGTATGAGCGAAATCCTGGTGTAAGGAATGGGACATGGCGGATCAACACATGGCTATATTCGATATGAAATATGGAAAAAAAAAAGAAGAACCTATGGCACAAATGCTCCGTATGGGATGGAGGAATACACGTAATGAGCCAGGAATTGATTATTATCATTCCGCTTTTTGTATTACCAGTTTTTTTTCCTTTTCTGTTTGCTTTCTGAGTTTAAGGATGTGCTGTTTTTGAGCAGCTTCACGTCACGATTGGGCGTTTGACGGATTTTTCCCTTCTGGGGGGTTTGGGAGAAGAGGAATGGGGGAAGGGAAGTGAGGGGGGCGCGGCGCTGTATTTAATTAGTTATACCCCCGTTATGCTCACCGTGATTTGAAATATGAAGCCACTGGGTTTGGCACTTTTGTTGCATATGAAAACATTTCAAGTCAAACGATAGCTCAAGGTGCATGCATCGATGATTTTCATCTGAAAAATACATCTTTGCCGAACCAGACAAAAACAAACCACATCACACAAGAACCATACGTGTACAATACAAGAGTGGTATTAAAAACGTTGCCAAAAAAGAATCACCCTAAAACTACAATCCACTTCACCTCCATCTCCATCTACAGTCTTACGCCCCCACTGCCGCCTGTTCACTACCCCTCGCACTCTCCTGCACCTCCTGCACGGGGGCCCTCTTCTCGCCAAAATTATGCAACCGCTCCCCAATCAAATAAACTTCATCGCGGACAACCAGCCTCCAGCGAACAAGCAACCTCACAACCGCCGACGAAGCCCACATAAGCACGATACTAAGGCCCACGGCGGGGAAACTGAAGCGCCAAACCTGATTCTTCGTCGCCTCGCTCGCACCACGGTATAGGACTCTTGTCGCGAAGAACGCTAGGCTAGATGGAATAGCAATAGCAGCGAGGAAGATGGCAAGGACGGGTATTACAAAGCATCTAGTCGCAATTCTCGCATTGGGATAAAGATACCCGTCACGCACGACGGCGGCAAAAGCGCGGGCGGGGCGGGAGTTGCGATTTGAGAAGATGAGTCTGGCGGCGAGGCGCGAGTACAAGAAGCCCAGAGTCCAGTCTTGAATGAGGTGCACTACGTGCGGTTCTTTGGGGCCGAGGTACGCGTGCAAGGGCATGAGGAAGTACAGTTCAAGGATGACGGCGAACAAAAAGGGGATGGCGAAGATGATGCTGGCCCACACGTATGAGAAGCGGAGGGCGCGGCCACCCACACGCGCTGTAGTGGCTGCGACTGTGCGCAGGGTAGACATGGGGTCTGGGAGACGTCTGTTGAGGGAAGATATGAATTTTGTGGCGTGGTAGCCCGAGTAGGCGATACTGGCTAAGGTGTAGACTCCGAGGGAGAAGGCGTGGATATCGTTCATTTCGACGGTTGGGGGGAGGAAGAGCGAGAAGAGGTAGCGGCCGAAGAGGAGAGGCAGGATGGTGACGCTGACTCCTGAAAGGCCCATGAAGATCCAGATTGTGACTACGAAGCAGAAGATGCGCAGGCGGAACCATGGCGGTATGAAAACCATGGATACAAGATCAGAGTTGTGCACACCTCCTTCGTTCTGACCGTCCTTACGCACATTGTTTCGATCCACTTCGACAAAGACAGGCTGACCCTTAGGAATGCGGGCTTGATCTGAAGATGGAGCACGCACATATCTGCCATCCTCGCCTTCCTGCTCCGGAACCTTGTCGCCGAAGAGGAAGTTTGAAAGGCGGAGGAAACCGGCGCACTTCTGGAAACACCACTTGTAGCTGGCGTGTACACCCTCACTAGGCTTGTAAAACTTGATAATTACTGGTGTGAGGAAGTTGTAAAAGAGGAGGTCAAGCGGGAACTCTAGCGACGGTGCTTCGGTTGTCCAGTGAATTGGCAGAACATTGGAAGTTGCCCGGCTCAGAGTCCAAACCACTCCTCCGAGACAAACAATGACTAGTGCACCGTAGACCAAAGCACTAAAGGCAATCTTGCGAAGCTGAGTCGTAACACTGCGCTCTAGAACGTCACGGACCGGGTGGAATGTAGGGTCATCTGGATCGCGGATGAAGTATAGGACACCCTTGCGCATGATCTTACGGCACATGGAGACGAAGAGTGCAAAGTGGAACATGTAGCAAGTGCCGATGAACCAGTGCACAAACCCAGATGTCCACGGACTTTCCCTAGCAAATTGCCACCGCGTGTACAGCGTAGCATTCTTGAAGAGAGGGAGCATAGCGAGGTCGAGGAGCAGGCCACAGTACAGTGGGAATACCAACATCTCGATGCTGATGATCAAGATTACCTTGAGCACACCACCAGCTTGCTGTAGAATGTCGGAAATGATGCGTTCAATTTTCTGTCCTTGCTGTGATGAGCTAAAGGGAGTACCGCGCTTGAGGTACACGGCACCAGCCAGGGCGAAGAACCCATAGCCAGCAAGAATGGCAATCAGGCGATCGCTGGCTGTCCAGTAGTCCATTGCAGTATACACAGAAGTCGTGTTGTGAGTCGAATCCATATCAAGGGTAATCTTATATGATTTGGAAGCCCATAGCCATGACAGCAAGGCGCCACCTCGTCCATATGCAGATGTAAAGGTGTTTGTGACGAGAGACGGCAAGTATCCGGCAACCCTTAACACAAGCTTGGGTAGCGAGTCTGCTGAAATTTCTTCAATGATTGCGTTTGCAAAAAAGCTGGTCTCGTTGAGCGCGAACGAAGTCGTATTTTGCAGGCTTCGCAAAGAAGCATGGGCATTGACTGAGAGTCGAAAAGAATCGGGTCCAGGCGATAGAGGCGACTCCATGATCGTCTTGCTGATACGAACCATGGAGCTCTCTGCAAGAGAATAAGCCGGTGTTGATATTGTGCGAAGTGGGCCCTCAACCGCTTCTGAAAGTTTGCCCCAGGAAAAGAATTTGACCAGACCAGATATGGCAGCAGAGCTCCAATATGTTGCGCCAGCCACGAAAAGTAGAGTGACATCAACAATCAAGTCTGTGATGGTGGCGACTGCTTGCAGAGGTAGCTTGATGAAGAGCGAGACGGGACTTCCCATGAAGAGAATGACAACCTTACCCCAAAGGTAGGGGAGCCAAACTGCACATGCCAGTGTTGCAGAAATCAGCACTGCGCTGAACAAGGCGTTCTGGAAAAGACCAACCAGAGGTCCTTGCATGCCAATGAGTTCAAGTATGCCCTCCAAGTCCTCTGCATCTTCAATCGCTTCCTGATCATTGACATCGATACCAGCCTGCGCAGCGGCAGCAGCTACCTCAGCATCCTGTGCAGGGGCGTTGCCGTGGTCTCGCGCCTCATTGCCCATAAATGGGACAAAGGGCGCCTCATCTGCCAAGTCACGAACAATGTGCTCCTCATTACCCCCCTCGTCAGCTGCCTGGGCTGCAGGCGCCACATCTCCAAACATCCAGTCCAATACGCGATTTACTGGGTTTCCTGGGGCTTGAGGGTCTGCGGGCTGGACAGGGTTTACAGGTGCAGGGGGCTCATTTTGATGTTCCTCGTCCTCCTCAGCCTCGGTTTCTTCATCTGCGGTCAAATTGTGCGCGGGGTGGCTGGCATCAAACTCTACTTCAATAGTGGTATTCACCGTAACACCATTGTTCGAATCAGCGGTAGTGCTTTTAGACGATGAAGCAGATTCGTGTGATGTGTCTTCATTCGATGCTTCTTCGTCACCATAGTCAACAGCTTTGGCTTTTCCCTTGTCGTGTGCATGCTCTCTTTCCAGCGCTTGGTCAGAGTCATCCCCCACAACATTAGGAACCTGTTGCCAACTTCCGCTACTATGGTCACTATGCTGCTCGTGATCTGATACACTCCCACGCTCTTGAGCTGGCTGTCGGTCTCCAGCGCCATTTCCCCAAGAACTGGGTACCTCGTTCGCATCGCCAGTGGCTGGTTCCGACGCTTGTGGCAGGTTCTCGAACGACCAAGTGTTGGCCTCTTCTAGGCTGCGACGAATCTCTGTAGCAATAAACGAGCGGTCGCGTGCTGGCATGTTTGGCCTTGACCAGGACGCAGACGAATCAGAATCTGCTGCATCTGGTGTGGAGCTTGAGGGCAGGGGAAGTGAGGAAGTGCGTGCGGGAAACGTTGAGCTACTGGCTTCTGCATCATCATCCTCAGCCTGGTTGGCAGACTCTCCAGCACTCATCGCTTGGCGAAGAGACTCTTGAAGATTTTGAGCAGTCGCATCATCTTGGTTGAAGATATCGGCAAGGCCATTGGCCGATTCTGATTGCAAGATTGCTCGAACGTCATCTGACAAACCTTCGCGTACTAATCTTCGGACCAAGTCATCACGCTCCCTGCGGAGCGAAGAAGACCGACGCACCCGGCGTATTGTGGGATCTGGGGCATCATGCTCTTCGGCTTGGGCGTTGTTGTTGGTGAAACCTGGTTCGTCTTCATCATGGTCATGCAGCTCGTGAGCGTCTTGAGCGACCTCGGCATGCAGAGCGTCTAGAGCATCGTCCAGCTCATCTTCATCAACCGCAACGTCCTCAACATGAGCATCGTCGTCAAAGATTGCGCCCTGTTGTGCAGCAGCATTGTCGCCAAGAGCAACCATGTTGATTACCGGTTGCTGCTGGACAACCCATTCTCGAATGAGAAATACCAAGATGAACGCGACTACTACAAGCAGAGTGATGATTTGACCTTCAATTACATCGATGATAAAGCGGTTGGCCGATTGGGATTGGAACCAATTGAAGAAAGGGACGTCGGAGAGTAACGAAGGGCTACGGACACCGAGGGGACTTGACGTGATATTCGATGCCGTAATATTCTTGTCATAGACGGACAAGAAACTTGATTGGTCACTTTGGGGCAGCTGAAGGAATGGATACGGGGCGCCAATAAAGAGGCGTTCTGCAAACCTCCAGAGCATGGACTGGGGAGTGGTTTTGTTGTTGGGTGTGAGGGATACGGATGCTAGGGAGCTGGCATTGTTCCTGGT